ATCCGTTGTCAAGGGAGTAGCGGCGACAGCGCGGCTGCTGGAGCTCAGGCCCGTGCGATGCCGAGGAGTCGCTGTCTGGCCGCTGCGTGTTGTTCTTCCCTCAGATCAGCTTAGCCCCGGGGCCGCTCCTCTGATCCAGCATGGCTGTTACACCCGCGGCTCTACTAACATGCACGTGATTCAGCGCCCGCACCCAAATATTTCTTCCAATGTCTAATGAAATGAAACGTACTCTCGCTAGCCGGTTGTGAGAGATGCAGGGTCCGCAGTGGTACCTCGTTAAAACAAATCCAGGGTCTCCCCCTTCTTCCAGCCGCTGAGCGCGTTGGGCAGGCTGGGCTTCGTTCAAGGTTCTTGTCTCCGACGTTCCCTACGAGCTGTCTCCTCTCTCTGGACGTTTCTTTAAGCCCTGTCATTGCCAGCTCTCATATTAGAGCATAATGAAGCTTACAGGCTTTTAGTTCTTCTCCACTTTTATTAAGTTATTTCAGCCCTTCACAGTTCTGGCTTTTTATTGTAATTTATTGACATACGTGCGATCACACGTGTTCTTCATGGTCTGCATTCCACACTCCTCAGTATCCTCACAAGAAGTAAACCATCCTCTTTGTTTCTAAGCAATACAGGAAACATTTCAGGATAGAAACCCAGCTTTGTTTAATGTTTCCTTCCTAAATGTCAAAACTAGTTAGCAGTCTTCCAATTAAAATGTTCTTTGCTGCTCACAGAGCTGCAAGTTCTGATAGGTTATTTTCATAACGAGCACAGAGATAACAATGGAAAAGTCGGAAGAGGGTATGTCTTTTTTTTTTTTTTTTCCTGGCAGTTAGCTTCCCTCAGAAGTAGTGGGGGTTTCTTGAGAAAAGTATCCTCTGGTCTCTGCAGTCAACCGCGAAAAGCTGGATCACACGTGCCCGTTTTTGTCAGGTTTCCTCTGCCTCTCTAATGGCAGGAACCAGCATCATATAACAGGGCAAAATTTTTAAAAACATCAAAGTGAATTAGTAGTCCTACGGCACGTTTAAAAGGTGATTTGGAGCACTCTGGCTTCAGTGTCTACGTTCCAGAGATTTTTCCGTGAAAGTCTGAAGTCAGGTGCTCTTTGTGATTTTTGCCCCGAATCTGTGCTGGCTGGAGTGTGTCAGGGAAATGTTAAGACAGTCATGACCAGAGGTTTAGTGAGCTTTACGTATGGGCTACGAGGTAAAAATGGACAGAAAAAGAATAATCATGGAAGATTAAATGAACCCATTTTCAGTTATGTTGGGTAAATTCATCCATCAAAAGGTTTTTTGTTTTGCAAAACCATCCTTCTTAGTGAGTGCTAACACGTGCCCTCTTTCTTCTTTATGAGCGCTGTGAAACTTTGAATATTGTATATGTTAAAAGAGAATCCCAGGTGAATATCCACCAAAGTGCAGCCATTTTCAGCTTGAGTTTTTGACCCCACTGACGTTTTTGCAATGAAATGATACTAATCCTAATATCTAAGGTGGGCAAACCTTGGCTCTGTGGGAGTGGTTCTCTGTTTGGGCACCTCCTACTGCTGGCAGTAGATGCCGGGTTGCATGAGTACGGAGCAGGAAGAGCATGTCCAGTCTCATCCCCTCTCCCTGTGGATGTGGCAGCATGGGCTACGGAGCAGGAGGAAGCGTTGTGTTGTCTGGCGGTGCTGTTGCCTGCGCAGCAGGTCACTGTCTCTCTCAAACTGAAGTGGAGGCTGGAGGCGAGCCTCCTGTGGAGCATCAGTGAGACCATGTTGTTTTTGTGCTTTCTAAGCTGCAGACAGCCAGTATAAGGATCCTCAGCAAGAGATCAGCTGAGCTAACTTTGCTTTTTCTGGTGAAGCCACATTTTAGTAGGCTGTTTCTGAAGCGCTCTGACCATAAGTCCTACTGATGTTTTGACTGATTTGGTGGAACTTCTTACGTTTGAGTATTTGAAAAGGCTGTTAGAAGAACAAACAGTCAGCTTAGGAGGAAGGACTGCCAGTGCGCTGCAGTGAGAGATACCTGCCTGGTGAGCTTTTAGAGTGAGAGAGTCTTGCAGAGATGCTAGGATATTAAACTGTAGCACATGATCAAGGCTAGCTGAAAGCGGTCACTTAGTCTCTTTGTTCTGAGTGTGATATAATTTTAAGATACTTGCAGGATGGAGTAATCAAGTTTCTTAGAGTCTTCAACTCAGAAGCAGAGTCCAGGTCTCCTGACGAGTCTGCTGTCCTGCCTGCTGGTGTTCTAACTTCAACAATGCATGCACTAATCTAGCTTTTCCTTCTCTTTTAGGGCTTTGAACAATGGGGAACACAAGCAGCGAGCGAGCTGGACTGGAGCGTCATGGGCATAAGGCATCCCGAGGTGACAATTCAGGAGGAGCCATCAGTACAAAAGAGGGTGATAGACCCAAAATCTTAATGGATAGTCCTGAAGATGCAGACTTATTCCATTCAGAGGAAATGAAGGTATTGCCGGTTTGTTTTTGTCTTCTAGCATTAGCTGCTTGGGAACACCGTCCAGTTGTAATGTCGCATTGAAGTCAGTGGTGCTGTTAGCAATCTTCAATAATTCTGTAATTGAATTTGCACACAAAATAGACCACCTCCCTTGCTTTCCACACTAGGGAGAGATGTTCCTTTGATAGTCAAGCAGATTTCAGGAGTGTGATGTCGTGTTTTCCAGTAAGAATTAATTGTAGAACATCTAAAAGGTAACTAGCACAAAGCTCTTGCCTGGTTCTAGGTGCCCCAGGTTCCTTCAGATCCCTAATGCTCTTGCGGTCACCAGTAACGTTTCATCCCTCTATTTTTTCCTGTATTAAAAGAGCTGTTAACTACTTTTTTGCTTATTATTAGGTAGATTGTTAGAAATTATTTTTGCTGTGTCTCACCTGTGTGCCATAAGAATATCTAACAGTAAATTACACTATTAGATTTTTAGGCAGCCCTAAATCTTTCTGGATCCAACTACAAATTTTGTGCCTACCGTACTTGTACAATCCAAATGCTTCTAAGTGTATTTCCTTTTATTTTTCTCTCCCTTCTTACATGCAAATATTTTGTAAACTTTCCTGGCTGCAGTTACAAAGCTGAGAGCTCAAGTGATTTCTTTTAAGCCTAACTCAGGTTTGGTTTGGGTTGGGTTGGGGGGGGGGAAGTGTTTTGCCATCCAGTCTTTCTGCATATTTGGAAGGCTTTATCATCTTTGCAGAATTTTTGCAAATAAACTTGTGAACAACTTCTTGAAGTGCCCAATTTATACTTCCATCTGACAAAAACTACCTTAGAGAAGCAAGTGTAGGTGCAGAAATACCTTTAGTGAAATATGGGTTATCTAAGTCTGCCAGTTACGAATTACTCTTGATTAAGATGTGTTCCTAGGCTCCACTGGAGAAAGAAGAATTCCTAGCCTGGCAACAAGATCTGGAAGTGAGTGATAAAACCCCCACTCAAGCTCGACCAACAGTCTTTCGCTGGACTGGAGGAGGGAAAGAAGTTTATTTGTCTGGGACCTTCAACAACTGGAGTAAAATTCCTCTGACAAGGAGGTAATAAACTTCTGCGATATCAGTAACACTCCCTGAGGACTGGAAATGACTAGTGCAGTGAGAAAGATGGTCAGCTGATATTGTGCTTGGATTTACCACTTTCATATCAAGGTCTTGAGGAGAGAAGCAGGAATCCGAGTTTCTCATTTTTGTCTCTAGGATGGCAAGGGATGACAGTTGTGCTGTGTGACAGTGGCAAGCAGTTATTTGTTGGCCCGTCACCATGTGTGAATGACCCAACACAATCCTTGCTGTGCAGAGTCTACTAGCTGAGGTAGAGTTAGGCTATATAAAGTAAAGATGGATTTGGATTTGGAGTCTCCCATGGCACGTGTACTTTCCTGCCGTATCGTTGGCTTTCACCCAGCTCAAAGGATCTGAGTTCTGCTTAGAAAGCTCTGAGCCTAGGATACCTGCTGGTAAATGGCATGATCAGAGATTAGACCTGTGTTAAAGTACCATATGCTTTCCCCTGCCTGAGAGCTCTGGAGTTCAGCTTAATTCTGCACCGGCGTAAGTATTTGGCACAAACCAATGTGCCACTGTCCAGGCAGTGAGTCGGAACGTAATTGTTGATCTGAGCCCTGTTGTGTAGCAGTGAAGACCTATCCATAAAAGATAGGTCCCTTGGCAATTTCCTGATATTTCTTACCTCAGCAAGTGGCTTATTATTGCACAAGTGTCTTAATTTCTTAGGAAACTTGAGGAAGGAGTGTAGTGGCCTAGTGAAATGGTATGGGAGGATTGTTCTGTGCATGAGCCACATGAAACAAATTATCAAGATAGAAAGGAGAAGAGAAGCCAGTGGAACATCAGTTTTACTGTTATGTTTAAAGTAGAAAGGTTAGAAGATGGTGAAATGAATTTGGAAGAAGGCCAAAAATATTTCCTTACCGAAGAAAAGGCTGGTTTGTTTCTTGTCAGATTAGATGTTTTGGGAAAGGAGGTATCTAGATCTCTTTAGAGGCTGAAAAAATAGGTACTGCTGATTCAAACACACTGACGTAGAAAAGAGTTCATTATTCCAAACTGAATTCTCAAATCCAGCTCTGTGATAGTATGCTGGCACTTCTTACCTGAGAAGAGAAATACTGGTACTGCGTGGCCAGTTTGAATTGTTTGCATAGCGCTGGCTGTTTCTGAGCTTCTTTAAGGTGGCGGTAGGGATCCAAGGAACCGGGAAGTTCACAGCACAAGGATGTCAAAATTACCAAATGACAGCTATTCAAACCCAAAGTATATCAAAGCAACAGAATTGCTGCTTTCATCTTCCAGTCATTGTTTATTCATTTCACTGGCATCTGTGAAATGCAATTTGTGATGGCAAATACTGAAAGGCAAAAAAAAGTGTTTTGTTTTTTTTTTTTAATCAACAAGAGCCTCGCCGACAAAATGAGATCTTACGTACTAGTAAGTAAAATGAAGATGTCAGAATGACTTTATGAAAGTTCAGCACTAGTTCCTTGATGGCAAGAGTATCAGTATTAATTTTGAGTATATTAAGACTTGCATGTCACATTAACGTTAACTGTAATTTGATTCTTTACCTTTAGATTGCACAAGAGATTCTCTTAAACATGGTGTTGCCATAATAAGTTTCTGCATATTAAGGGGACTTATATTTTATGTCATGATGTTTGTCACAGAGATTGATGCACTTTTCAGAATATTTCATGGGCGATTGTCTTAAATTCCAGTCACAATAACTTTGTGGCAATCCTGGACCTGCCAGAAGGAGAGCACCAATATAAGTTCTTTGTGGATGGACAGTGGACACACGATCCTTCAGAGGTAATGTTTTCTTTGATTCACTGTGCTTATTGATTGATGTATATGAAGAGGAGAAGCTGGCCGTTTTCTGCACCGCTAGCGGCCTTTTCAGAGAGAAGGCATTTGTTAACAACAGCCACGGACTGTTTAAGCTAGTGAGAGAGATGTTTCTGATCCCAGCTGGCCTAAGTGGTAGCACCAGACTGAGAGCCTGAAATGACAGGAGACTTTTGTAACAAATAGGTGGCAAAGGTCCATTGGGTATTGGTTTATGAGTGATGGTGAGCTTTTCTTGTGTGGTGCCCAACTGACTTTGAGAACACTGTAGCATTGCTGACAGCTGAACTCTCTCTGTGTCGCGCTTGCTATCTGTTGCTATTGCTGCCCTGGATCCCCTGTCGTCCAGGAACTGTACCAAAATCTACCATCAGCCATTAATTCCTGCAGGCACCAGGACTTTTCCTCCTCCTCTGCTATAAATAAAACAAGCTTTAACCACAGCCTGCCCAGCAGTCCTACCTGCTTCAGAATTAGCCATTCACAGCTGCTGTTTTCAGCCTTTTTGCTGCTTTTGCAAACTTTGCAGAACCATGTAGTAAATTTAGCTCTTAGAGCCTCTGCCCTGCACTCCAATTCTAGCTTTAGGAGTAAAACCCATACAACCACCCATACAACCCCCCATCCCCTGTCCTACATCAGGCCTGGCCCTGAAAACGCTGTAGAAACTAGCAGTAAAGTTTAGCTCCTTCTGGCCTAATCAGTAGCTTTAGCCCAAACCTAATCTAGCTTTAACTGTAGCCCAAGATTTTCTCAAGAGTGTGGACTTAGCAAGATCAACTGATACAAGTCCCCCTCCAGTCTCAAATCCTGTACCTTTTAACATAACACTGATTCAGCAATGGTGAACTCTTTCCATATCTGATACTAATGTATCTTAAAAGCACTATATCTCATTGTTAATACTGATTGCATAGTTTTCAGAATCCTAATAGTCCTGCAAGCTTCTTTATTGTGACTTTTGTCTCCTGTTTCTTCCCAGCCAGTAGTAACCAGCCAGCTAGGTACTGTCAACAACATCATTCAGGTGAAGAAAACCGACTTTGAAGTATTCGATGCTTTGATGGTGGACTCCCAAAAATGTTCTGACATGTCTGGTATGAGGCTACTGGTAATTTTATATTTCACCTGATAGAGCTGTTAAAAAAATTCCCTCTTCCTCTTTGTCTTGGGTTAAAGCTCCAGTACAGTTGTCCAGCTCTGCAGACCTGTGCAGGGATCACATGTGCACAAAGGAAGAAGATGGAATGCCAGGAGAGCCATTGACCGAGCAATGCAGGCCATTAAAGATATGATTAGGAGGAAGTCATGGGAGCTCAATAGCTGTTTGTTTGTGTGTGCAATGTGAAATGGCTGTTTTTAGCACGCTCAGTGATGGATCAGTTTCTACCTTAAATCATGAAACCAATGTTGGCAGCCTAAATTCCTCCTAATACCATTTTCCTTTACTAAGGAAATGGGCTTAGGAGATCAGAAGATGCACATTAAGAGCTCCGAATGAGATGCACCTTAGTAATGTTGCCACAGGCTCAGAATAATATGGCAAAGTTATTTTTGCCTTAAGTTTTTGTTTTGTGTTCTAGTGTAATAGAAGAGAGGTAAGATTTACCTTGGGTCATCTCTGAAATCAGCTTGGCCACCTGTTCTTTAAGACCTTTGTAGGGACTGAGACCATGATTGAAGTAGCATCTAGCATCCTTTTTCAGAAGACCTGTCCTTTGTATCTAAGGCAGAGGGTGCCTTCAGCTGGTTTTTGCTCTATACCACTTTCCCCAGGACAAAGCTTTTTGAGCGAAAGAGTGGGGTTTGTGAGATTGGGAAAGTGCAAGAAGCAATGAGGAGACACTAGTAGACCCTGTCCCCCAAGTGCTGTAACAGCCTTCCATTATCTTGCTTTCTGCTCTGAAGAGCGCTTTCTGTTCTTCTGTCCCTGCATTGGAATAATACCTGCCTTTTACACTTGCGTACCATGTGTTTAGTACTTCCCTTGGAGATAAACCTTACAGAGGAATGTTTAGTACTAAGCGTTTGCTGCGGAAGTGCTGGGCAGAGATGACAAGTTCTGGAGCGCAGCAGGGCTCTCAGAACCCTGTCTCCTAAATCTTTACAGCTGGTCTCAAGGCAGACAGAGCTGGGACATCTTAAATCTCTTTTTTCAGGTACAAAACTCTTTACATGGCTGTTGTTACTCTCCTCAGGCAGTGACTGGTCCTTTGACACTGCATCGGCTGCTTCAGCTCTTATGTGCCGTTGGCTTCTTTCGGTCACAAGTGCTTGGAGTACCTGTAAAGAGCAGGTAGTCTTCTAGAATGTTTTAAGAGTAAATATTTAACATCTCTCTGGCAGAGCTGTCGAGTTCACCCCCAGGACCATACCACCAGGAACCCTATGTTTGTAAGACAGAGGAGCGCTTCAAATCTCCACCCATTCTTCCCCCCCACCTGCTGCAAGTCATCCTGAATAAGGACACGGGCATTTCTGTGAGTACATCAGCGTCCTTTCCTGGATAAGTTTCTTGAGGAATGCAGGCGGACAGGGAAATTCTGTGTAGGGGCAGGGGACAGTTGAGGAAAAGCCTTGGAATAATTGCCACGTAGATAAATTGCCTATTATACAAGTCCATATGGATCCATCTGTAGTAAATTTGTCTGTCTAACTGACTCTCTTCAAAATTGAGAAGAGAACTGTGTTGCTACTTTACTTCTAGAAACCCAAGTCTTTCCCACTGCAACACCATTAAAATGTGCTGAAAATGTCAAAAGCACATAGGAAATAATTGAGCTCTGTTTCGTGATTGCAGATAGGGTCCAGAAGGTTCCACCCTGTAAGGATCTTAGGTTGTACGGGAACTGGTTGTACTACATTTCAACAAATTCAGCAAATCTACATTTGTTGATGGACTCAGCGTAAAGGCTGTATGAAGGTATTTGAGGGTATGGCCAGGCAGTTACAGACGGTGCTTGTCACCCATCAGCTGTGATGACTAGATTGTGAGTTCTTACTGTTTCTTGCCTGTTATTTTCACAGTCTCACTCCCCTCCCTTTTTTTTTTTTTCCCCTCCCAGTGTGATCCTGCTTTACTCCCTGAACCCAACCATGTAATGCTGAACCACCTTTACGCACTTTCTATCAAGGTGAGAGGCCAAGGCATGTTCTTCTTCACACTTGCAGCTTTTAGATAACCATGTAATATGCTCCCTTGTTTTCTATCTCCTGTAGGATGGAGTGATGGTGCTTAGTGCTACACATCGTTACAAGAAGAAATATGTGACTACTTTGCTGTACAAGCCAATATGAACATTATGGTAGTTTGTGACCAAGTGTTCTGGGCCAGTGCGGTCTCAGAAAAAAAAATTTTTTTACTTAACCAAAAGTACTCCTGCTCTGTGCGGCAGCAAACAAACTCTGGTTTCACGTTGTTTCTGAGACTTCCAAGTTCTCCTGTGTTTGCCTTATTCTTTAGTCCCACCTTGGAAGTTCTTGGAGATGACAGCTAGACCAATGGCAAAGTGTCAGTGCCAGTTGTCAGCTCAGTTAAAAACACTTAGATTCACCTATGTAATCGATTAGGCTGAAAAATGTCAGGATAGCAATGGATTCAAGACCTTCAGCAGTGGTGCAGACTATAAGAAATACAAAAACCAGCCCAAACTCTAGAAAGCTCAGGATTCTTGTGGAATCTGAGTTGAGCTCAACACTCAGCAAAAAGCACACCTATTTCTGCTTTCATAACTTACCGCGTGCATCAAATGCACAGTTATTTTAGTAGCAAGTTCCAAACTTGCATGGCTGAAATAAGTGTGAAACTTGATGTTTTGTAGCAGCCTTTCTAGGCAAAATCAATGTTACAATCACCCACAAGTTCATTTTTATTTTACAGTAGACTGGGATGCACTGTGTTTCTACTGTGGATAGCACTGTAGCGTTTCTCTTTCTGAGAACTGAAATACAGCTTTTCCCCTGTGGGATTTCTGGTAAAGACTTTTTTTTAATGGCTGGATTTTTGTGTAAATCATAAATGTGTCTTGCAGTAATCTGATTTTTGCAACCAGCTTCTCCTGCTGTCACTGATAAGGGCTTCCTTAAGCTGGGACGGGTGGCTGTAAGGAAAACAAGGTATCCAGTTTAGGGATTAGTTCTTCAGTAACAGCCTCTGTCAGCTGACTTGAAGATGACTGTAAGTTACTGTGCAGTAACCTGTATCTTGGTGGCCAAACATGCAGTTGCAGCATGCTGGAAACAGGAGCGTTGCGCTCTTCTGTGCCCAGGGCTAGAGCCGGGCCCTTCCCTCCAGGCTGCAGCACTAGTGGCGGGTATAAAATCCCTGTAACCAGGGCTGTGGTGATCTCTGCAACTTTTTCTTCTGTTCACATTTTCTAAGTGAATGGAGTAATACCAGGTTGCCTGTCCTCAGTACTGCCAGCCTGTTTTATCCCAAAACAAATGCAATGTGGTTAATGCAAAACTGCCTGCCAGCGTGCCTCGGGCCTCCCTGGAGGAAGCGGCTCAGGAAGTGACTTGTCGGGTCCTTTCCTCTGCTTGTTTTTTGGTGCCTGTGAGTGCCAGTGACCGTGCCAATGATAACCAGCCTGTGTCCTACTGTGAGGAAGAGCACATTACGCAAATCAGCAATACTTTGAGCGGGGACAAAACCCGCAGCAGCCAGCATTCAGTGGAGCCAGCCGCAGCGGAAGGGTGGTTTGCCATCCGCAGGTTTGTTCACTAGCTTTGTTGCAAGATTTTTGAGTAGCTTAGTAGAACTGGGTCTAGTGCAATGGTTTTCTCTGAAAACTGTCCTTCATCCTGTGCTATGGATAGTCTTTATTCTGAAATATGGAATTGCTTTTGTTTTCAACCTCTTCAGAAACAAATTAAAAATAAAAGATTTTTAAGAAAAGCGGATGACTTGTTTTGTTCTTATCCTACCCTGTTATGGTGTTTTGGCCTCAGCTTTCTTGAGTTTGTTGTTGTTCTTTTAGAACCTGCAGTTGATTGTTGCTGTTGTATATGTTAGTGGATTGTGCAAGCTTTTCAGTCGTAGACACAGCCTGAAGCACTTTGGTAATCAGTTGAGAAGATGGAGGATGTTTTAGTGTGTTTTTTTCATGATGTAAAGCTTACATGAAGAAGAACAATCACAAGCTCCATCAATCTGTTCCTTAGTCTCAAAAACTTGGTATAGGTCTTAATGCTCCCTGGCACCTTTTTGTTCCTGCAAGCTACTCTTCAAGCAGACCTTTTTTTTTTTTTTTTTCCTTCCCCCCCCCCCCACCCAAACCCTTTCTCCCCGCTTTTCTTAC